AGCCCCTTGTGGAGTGCATCCCAAAGCTTCCCCCCTCCTTTGCTGAGCGGCCGAACTTTCCGGGCGGAACCCGAGGGCTGGGGGAGAAAAATCGCCTGCGATTCCTCCTGCCCGACCCGCCTCATCCCACAGAGTCATTCCTCCCTCCCTCACTCATCCCCCTCCTCCTGCATCATCCCCCTCCTCCTGCCTCATCCTTTTCCTTCTGCCTCACCCCTTCCTCCTCCACCCCTTCCTACATCGTCTCTCCTTCCCTCGCTCCTGCATGGCCCGCACCCTCCTCCACAGGCTCGGAAGCCCACCCCACGGGACCCCTGCCCGGCACCGGGGCACCGTGTTTGTAGAAGCCGCAGCGCCAGCGGACGCCCCGCGCGGCCGGGGAGCGGCACACCGGGCGCTGCTGGACGGCAAAACGGAACAACAGATGCCGGAGTGAAGAGGAAGGCGGCGGCTGATGGAGGCAAAGGGGCGGAGGCCACCACGAAGCCAAGCATCCGGCAGGACGCGCAAGCAGAAGAGAGCACGGCCGGCAAGTCTTCGCAGGAGAGGAGATATGATATGCGTGCGAAGCGCTGCAGAAGAATCGCGTGAGCGCGGCAGGGGGGCAGGAATAGACAGAGGGGAGGATGCGCGCCCTCGGATCGCGCACTGCTAACCCGTATCATCGGGACGGACCAGAAGGTATACAAGGGCCTTGGAAGACCACGTCGACACTTTACGGGCGGGGCGCGGCCAGCGCAAGAGGCCAAGCATCGGCCGAAGGGGAAGGATGACGAACGAACGACACGCACCCATATCCATAGGTGGGACGGAGCGGGCCATGGGTGCGTGTTGTCGGATGGGGGTCCCCGCTCGAAAGGAAGCGCACCCATACCCAAAGCCGGTCCTCCTCTCAACGACCCCCCTATGGGTATGGGTGTGTGCTGCTCGTTCGTCAAAGGATGCAAGGGTAGCCTTGCAAAGCTGCTCGTCCCTTCTGTTTACCAGCCTGGAACATACCCCTATCCCTATGCTGGGCACCTCCTCATCACGATGCCAACCTTAGGGATTCCCTTATTTTTTGAAGGCAAATCCCTAAGATTGTCATCGCCTTTTGGCGTGTCAATCTTAGGGATAGGGATACGTTCGAGGCTGGTCCCTTCTGTGCGGGCGGACGGCGCACTTTGTCGCGACCGGTGCGGGCCGCCCCAGAGGCTCCCGAGGGAGTCTCCTGCGAGGCCCGGGCACTCCAGGACCGACCCAGATCCGCAGCTGTGAGAGGGGCCCTGGGGCACACAACGAAATACATACAAATCACAGGACTCCCCAGATGTTCCCATATTTTGTGGGTTTTTGTCTTTCCCCCCACTTCCCATATGTTCCCATATTTTTTCTGGGGAATCGACGATTCATTGTGTCTGTGTGTGTGTGTGTTTTTTCCCCTCCTGAAGCTGGACCGTGCAATCGTCCCGGGGATGCAAGGGCGCGTGGTCGACCGAGCGACGCTCAGCGGGAGCCAGGTGGTGCACCCCGAGATCGTCGGGTCCCATGCGCGCGCCGCCGACGGACTGATCCTGCGAGACCTGGGCCAGAACTCCCGCTCGAAGGGCGCCAGGCACACGAAAGAAGATTGTCGACGCTATGACTGCTCGTGTCACGGGCGACCGTGCCAGACTGCCCGACACCGGGATGCCACGCCCCCTGCGAGGCACAATCCCCTTTTACCGACCGCGGACGTCTGCTCCCAGGGATCCGATTCGTTGCTGAAGCCCGTAAGTGGCAAGCAACGATTAACAGTGATGACCCGTGGGAGATGATGAGCGATGGCTGGCACGAATGAGGGGCAAACGCCAAGGAGGCCTCCTCCCTTCTGCTTCTCCCCCCGATCCTCCTCCTCGCCCCACAGCGCACAGGCCGGACTGCGCGGAGCCCACCAGCACAGCGAAGGGCATGGGTGAGCAGAAGGAGGCACCGACGAATCGCACCGAGCAGTGATTGACCACCTACCAGACCACCCCAAGCCAACCCGGAGACCCGCGTCTCGGGCTTGGGGGGGGGGCAAGGGTTGCACGGTGTGTCTTTCCGATGTTTCCCGACCCCCCCCCCCACTGGAAACCGAGGGTCACACGTGTCTTTCCGATGCTACCCGACCCCTCCCCCCGCCCCCACACTGGAAACCGAGGGCAACTCTGAGCCTTCGGGCTGGGTGGGGGGGTGGCTTGGTGGGTGGGGGGTAAGGGTTGCACGTGTGTCTTTTCGATGTTCCCCCCCCCCGCCCCTCCACTGGAAACCGAGGGCAACTCTGAGCCTTCGAGTGGGGGTGGGGGGGGCTTGGCGGGTGGCGAGTGCTGCGCCGAGGGCGCGCGCGGGCACGGGGATCGGCGGTGGACAAACCTCCCTTTAGTAAACCTCCCCTCAGTGAAAACGACCTGGGACCGAAACCGACGGACCTGGACCCCCGCAGAAGTGACACGGCCGCGACGCCCTCTCGCGAACCGAAAACGGCCAATTCCTTGATCGACGTGTCAGGGTAGGAGGTCTGTCCACCCCCGAGGGGAGGGGGCCCCGGGCGTGGAGGCCCAGGGCCCGGCGGCGGCCCGCGCTCCGCGCCCGCCGCGGCGGCGAGGCGTGCCGCGCGCCGCTCCTCGCGCTCGAGGCGCCGCGCAGAGCCTCGCCGCGCGCGCCACGGCGAGGCGCCGAGCGGAGAGCACGCCGCCGCCGCCGCGGCGGCGCGGGCACGCGGCTCGTGCGCCGCCCGCCGGGGGCCCCCCCCCCGAGGCCAGGACCCCGCGGCGCCCTGGGCGGCTGCCCCGAGGCCGACGAGCCGCGGCCCGCCGCCGGAGGCGGCGCCCCGGCGTGGGGCGCCCCCACGGGCCACGCCGTGCAGAGGACGGAGCGCAGAGGATAGGGAGCCCACAGAGGACGTACGCGCCCAGCTATGTACGTGAACACGGCCCCTCGGTTCGCGAGACCGGCCGCGTCATACGAACATTTGTGCAATGCGTGCTCTCGAAAACAGCGTGGATTCATGTACATGTACGTCCTTCTTTCGCTCCTGATAGGAGGACGGGCCTCGCACCCGCCTGCCCCCCTCACGAGGAGCGTGGGGCGGCCGGCGGGTGCCTGCAGACGCTCCTGTTCGCCGCTCTGACGTGGGCTGCACCTGCGGCACTGCGGCGCGCCAGGGTGGGCGCGCTGGACTGTGCGAGGGTGTCAGCTACTGCCGTAGTTGCTTTGAAGCTTGTTCGTGTTCTCCTACTGAGAGCGTCCATTGCACCGGTGCGGGGGCCAAAGCGGTCGAGCTTCGAGGAAATAGCGCGTTCAAGAGTCCGGGCCGGAGCTGCGTCGGAAAATTCGCGCCAGGATCGCGTCGGACGCGGGAGCGGGCCCGGGCAAACGAGGCGCCGTCTCGAGCCGCGTCGGATGCGTCGGAACGGCGTCGTGGCAAAGTAAAGGGTTTCAGCGGGGCAGCTGTTTGGGGATGTTCCAAAAGTGAAGCTCCGAACCAGGATGTCGCTGCACATGTTGCAGAATATCGCCTCTCTTACTCGCCGCCGATCCTGGGGAGCGACAAGGCGTCGTCGTCGTCGTCCAACGCAACTATCCAGGGCGACCGGAGCGTCAAAAACTGTTCTTGTGCGGCCGCGAAGGGCCTCTCGCCTCTCGTCCGCCCCCCTCTCCTGGAGGCTGCTTCGAAGCCTCTGGAAGGCCGTTGGGGAGGCCCTGGGGTGCTCTCATGGCCTTCCTGGGGGCCTCCCGCGGCCCTCTGGGGCCGTGAAGGGCGCCTCTTGGACCGTCTTGGAGCCGTCTTGGGCGCCTCTCGGGCGTCTCTCGAGCGCCTCTCGGGCGCCTCTCGGGCCCCCCTTGGAGCCATCCCGGGCTGTCTGGGGCCCCCTCTCGGCCCACTCGGGGTCCTCCGGGGCTGTCTCGGGCGCTTCTTGGGGCCGTCCTGGGGCCATCTGGAGCCCTCTTGGAGCCCTGCCGTCTTGGACGCTTCGAAGAGTAACAGAGACGGACCTGCTGAAAATGGCAATGTTCCCATGGGAATGTGGCGATGCTTGCTTCATGGAGCCCTCTTGGGAGTCGCCTTGGAGGTGTCTGGAGGCGTTTTGGAGGCTTCTCGGGCACCGAGGATCATTTTTGGAACCGTCTTTGGCTTCTTGGCATGCCTTTTGGAGTATGACCAGTTTGGAAGCTTTTGCGGCCGCTGTGGGGCCGCGTGGATGACGTTTGGAACCGTCTTTGGCCGTTTGGGGGCGCTCTTGCACCGCTGTGGGCCGCTTTGGCGCCTGCGGGACCAGGTGGCCCTGCCAACCAGCCAAGCACCTTTCGAACATGTTTGAATGGTCAGACGGTCTTGTTCTGCACTTATATACGTACATACACGTTTACATACCTGCGCATACACACGCATGAAAGTGTTCATTCATCGCCGACAGGTCGGCTGGCAGCACTCCGAATCCTTCCCCAGGGAGGCGGCCCTGCTGGGGGGAGCCCTCTTTCCCAACACCGCCCTCGGACGCGGGCCGCGCCGAGGGGGAGGAGGAGAAGGAGGAGGAGGAGGAGGAGTGAGGAGGGGAGGAGGAGGAGGAGGAGGAGGAGGAGGAGAGGAGGAGGAGGAGGAGGAGGAGGAGGAGGAGAGGAGGAGGAAGAGGAAAGGAGAGTAGAAGGAGAGGAGGAGGAGGAGGAGGAGAAGGAGGAGGCGAAGAGGAGGGAGGAGAGGAGGAGGGAGGATGACACGAGGAAGAGGAGGAGGAGGAGGGAGGAGAAGGAGGAGGGAAAGGAGGAGGAGGAGAAGGAAAGGGAAGGAGGGGACGAGGAAGAGGAGGAGGAGGAGGAGGAGGAGGAGGACAAGGAGGAGGAGGAGGAGGAGGAGGACGGAGGAGGAGGAGGAGGAGGAGGGAGAGGAGGGAGACGAGGAGGAGGAAGGAGGAGGAGGAGGAGAAAGGAGGGAGAGAAGGGAGACGAGGAGGAGGAAGGACGAGGACGAGGAGGGGGCAGGCACCGCCCGCCCCCGAGTCCTTCGCAAAGTACCCCGGGGCGCCGCCGAGCTGCACCGCCTGGTGGCCCAGGGCGTAGCACGCCTGGGCCCGCGGGAGGCCCGGCGGCCCGGCGCGTGCCAGGGCGGAAAGGGCACGGACCGCTTCCGGCAGCTCCCTGTCTAGGGGGCCACAGGCGAATCCTACCCCTACCCCCCACGATTCTTAACGGGGAGGGTGGGGTTCACTTCGCTCGGGAGCTCCCGAGCGAAGCGAACCCCACCCTCACCCTCAGAAATCGTGGGGGGTAGGGGTAGGATTCGCCTGTGGTCCCCTACTGTCGGCCGCGAGCCCGGGGGGGAAGTGAGGTGGAGAAGGCCTTCTCGGAAGGCTCGGAGTCCCCAGGCTTTCTCTGAGAGATGTGTGTGTGTGTGTGTGCTAAGCCTCCCCCGAGGGCACGGAAAGCTGCTCTCAGAGGGCGCGAGGACTTCTGAGAAGGCCCGCCGCCTTCTGAGAAGAAGGCCCTCTCCGTCTCACTTCCCCCCGTCGCTCGCCGCCGACTCTGGGCGGATGTGGTGCAGGGCCATCAGCTCCTCCAAGGAGCAGCCCCTTCCAGTTGGAACAAGTGTCGGGCGGTGCTTCATGGGGTGGGGGCGATGAATGGGGGGAGGGGAAGAAACGTGCGTCCTGCGTGCCCGAGGGGCCCTTTAGGGCACCCTACGGTGCACCAAAGGTGCACCCTGCTTCACCTCCCCATGCATCGTCCCTCCATTGCGCAACGCTCGAATGTGGGTACCGTCTCCCCTCCCCAGGAGATTGGACGGGAGCATCACGAGGGATTGGAGCTCCAAGGTAGGCCATGCAGGCTGCTCCAAGATGGCCCTGTACACCCTGGGTTGCATCAAAGATGGCGCAAGATGGCCCAGGCTGGCATCCAGTAGGCCTGAGCTCCAGGAAGGCCCCAAGACGGCAGCGAGGTGGGGACAGGTGGGGGGCGAGGGAACGACAACGAACGACAACGAGAAACAAGACACGTCGGGCCTACGAGGTGTCAGGGGACCTGGACCAGGGAGAGGGCCACGGCCGGGGGAGGGGGGCACGGGGGGCAGCAGGGGGGGACAGGGGGGGGGGAGGGAGAGAAGGGCCCTGGAACAGGCGAGGGGGGTCACGCCCAGGGCAGGGGGCGGGGGGGGGGCGAGGACACACGACGACGAACGGCGGACGTCGAACGGCGCTCGGCGGCGCAGCTCGAGGGGTCGGGGGACAGGTGGGGGGCGGGAGGAGCCCTGGCCGCGGACCTGGGGCGGGAGGGCCCCGGCCCAAGGGCGAGCGAGCACGGGGCCAGAGGGCCCGGGAGGGCGTGGGTGGGGGGGGGCAGGCCGGGCGGGGTGCCGAGGACGAGGGGCGGCGAGCGGCTGCGCAGAGGAAGAAGGGGGCGGGGCGGGGTGCCGTGGGCCAGGGCCCGGGGCGGGCCGGGGCCCACGGAGGGAGGGGGGGGCAGGGCCCAGGGGGGGGGGGGGGCCAGGGCCCAGGGAGAGACGCCGAACAGCGAACGACGACGAACGAAACAACACGAAGGGCTCCGAGCTCGAGGACACAAGTGTCTGGGAGATGCTGCAGCGGTCTGCGATTCGTTGTGCCATAGGTTGCGCTCCTGGCGGCCGAAAATAAGACTGCCTGCGATCGGTCGCACCATAAGTTGTACACTCGGCCGCACATGGCAAAACGATCTACACTTGGTTGTGCAATAAAATGCGCACTGCCCGAAGGAAAAAACTGCCTGCTACGGGTTGCGCCGTAGGTTGCGCACTCGGCGGCCGAGGTGATAAAGTTGCCTGGTAGCGGTTGCGCTACAGGTTGCGCGATCGACGCCGAAAACAAGACGGCGTGGTACTGGTTGCGCCATAGGATGCGCTCTCGGCGGCTGGGAAACACCAAAAACGGCCTGCCACCAGTTGCGCCATAGTCCCATCAGCCAGCCCTTTGGGCTAAGATAGTCCAAAATCGCCTCTCCCTTTCGGAGAGGTTTAACTCCCCCCCCCCTCCCTGGGTCTCGACAGGGGGGGCGGAGGGGTTCGAGCACCCAAGACGGCCCAAGATGGATCCAAGAGGGCGCCCGATGCTCCAAGTTGGCCCCCAAGATGGCCTCCAAGATGGCTCAAGGTAGCCGACGATGGTTCACGATAGCTTCCGACGTACCTCCAAGAGGCCCAGCGAGGGCCACAAGACGGTTTCAAGTGATCTCGGAGCCCCCTCGGGACCCCTCCAAGAGGCCAAAATCCTTCAAACACCTCAAGAAGACGAGATGTTGGCCTTATCAGCGTTTCGCTTCCGATGCGCCTTGAAGCCTGAAGATGAGCGACCCAAGAGGCCCCTGGGACGGCCCCAAGAACGCCCATCAACGGCCCAAGAGCGGCCCCACAGGGCCCCAAGGGGCGATGTTGATGGCCCCAGGGGGGGAGAGGGCGCGATCAATCCTTACGACCCATGTCTGTTCACCGACGCCCTGCAAGATAACCCCAAGAGGCCCTCCAGGGCTCCCAAGGGATCCGCAAGAGGGCTCCAAGACGGCCCCAAGAGGGCCCCAAGACCCCAAAAAGAACCCCAAGATGACCCCAAGATACCCCAAAAGATTCCCAAGAGGGCTCCAAGAGGCGATTTTGAAGGCTGTCATCGTCCTCCTTGTCCTCTTTGTCCTCCTCCTCCTCATCCTCGTCCTCCTCCTCATCCTGGCCCTCATCGTCTTCATTTTTTTTTCCTCCTCTCTCTTCCTCGTCGTCGTCGTGGTGGTCGTCGTCCACCTCCTCCTCCTCCTCCTCCTCCTCCTCCTCCTCCTCCCCCTCCTCCTCCATCTCCTCCTCCTCCTCCTCTCCTCCTCCTCCTCCTCCTCCTCCTCCTCCTCCTCTTCCTCCTCCTCCTCCTCCTCCTCCTCCTCCTCCTCCTCCTCCTCCTCCTCCTCTTTCTCCGTCTCTCGCCCCCACGCGGGCCCTGGGATGGCTCGTAAAGACCCTCCAAGGCCACCCTTTTCCTCCGAGATCTCTGTTCACCCTGGTTGCCCATTTTGTTTCACTATACGTATGTTTCTTCGTCCCTTTCCCATGGGCAACGTTCCCGAATGGGTTGCTAAAGGTTGCGGGTTCGACGGCCGCGGATAAAACGGCCCGATATTGGTTCCACCACAACTTGTGCACTCTGCGGCCAAGAGTGGAACGGCCTGCTATCGACTGTGCCATTGGTTGCGCACTTGGCGGCTGATACAAAGCGGATTGGATTTTTTGCAGCTGCACCATAGGACGAGCACCCGGCGGCCGAAAATATAACGGCCGCCCAACGGGTGCGACCACTCAGTCAGTCAACCAGTCACGAACACTTCGCGCAAAACCACTTCGGGTGCAACCCATAAAACAATATAACTACGCCTGGATTCGGGCTCCGGAACGGGAGATGCTAACAAGGGGGACCCCGCTGGCCCCAAGAAAACCCGAGGCTCTCAAAACGGTACCAAAGCCCCCCGCTGAGGCCCTAAGCGCCCCCAGTGAGCTCCAAGATGGCTCCGAAATGCCTCCGAAAACTCCGAGGGTGGGCACGACTTGGCCATGTCTGCAAGCTGTCTGGACTGACCCTTCTCAGCCGCATTGCTTCATTACTACACTGCGGGCGCGGGCGCAAGAAACCCTCGCAAGAGACCCAACCCTGAAAACCTGCGCGCGAAGAACACACGAAGGAGAACACGGGGCACCCTGAACGTAGCAGCTCCTTTGAAGGCCGCGCGAAGTCACCGCGCAGCGCGCGGAGCGAAGAAGCCAAGGGTAGCCTGACGAGAAATAGTTGGTTTCTTGATGCGCGCCCCCACTGTACTCCACGCCCCTTCCACCACGACTCGCCGAAAGATCATTCCTGAGCTGGCCGGCGGGGAGTGGCGAGCGTCAAGAATGCACCACCACCGAGGCTGGGCGCCTCGAGCGAGGGCGGGCGTCGGCGGCAGTCCTGAAGTCCAGAATGTGCTGGAGTGGAAGGGCCTGGTGTATGTAGGTTGACGACCGAAGAGTCGAACCTACAAGGACTGCCGTAGGTAGAGGAAGGTTAGGGAGAGGGTAGCGATCCCTTTTTCCCATGCGCCGCGGGCAGGTGGCGCTGTACGTGTTGCCAGTACCTGAGCCGAGACGGCAGCAGTAGATATGGATATACTGATGATATGAGCGGACATCACACACAACGCACGTGCAAAGATGGCTGCCCTGCCAAAGTGAGCGGAACGGGGGACAGTGTGTCGACAGCTCGACAGTGAGGGGAAGCACCCGCCCGAAATCTGGAACGCACCATGCTGTCCCACGGTCCTGCGCAACCATGAAGGCTGCAGGAAGAATGTGCAGCTCCCAGGCGGCGCCGCTGCGCGATGGTGTGAAGCACCCTCCTGCCACGGCGGTGCCACGGGCTTTCAGCGTCGCTGGAGACTTGATTTTCGATCTCGTGGACGGCCTTGCTCCTCGTGGCATCGCAGTTCGCTCCGCTCGCCCCGTGGAGGCAAGAAGCTGAAGGGAAAATGACCACGACTCTGTCTGCCTCGGTGGCTGGGGCGTCGGGCCGTCCTGGATCTGCCAACTGTCGGCTACACGCAGGCGTGACCCTGCGCAAGAGTGACCTCTGGCGCACAGCTGTGAGGGGCGCAGGGGGGGGGGAGGGGAGGCCGAACCCCAAGCGGCTTGCAGACCGCTGCCACCGCATCGCCCTCCGCGGCTGGGGAACCCCGAGTGGGCCAGCACCCTTCGAGGTAGCCTCCGCGCAAGGTCGGCGGGCACGCGAAACTGCGCCGACTCTTGGGCGTGGCTTCATGGGGGGGTCACAAATGGGGGGGGGGTCAGAAAAGGTCCCCCTTCGTGCCCCTTTCGGGCCCCCTGCCAGAGCCCCAGGGGGCTCGTTCGGGTACCGTTTGGGTACCTCTTCGGAGCGCACTCGCCGCCCACCCCGTGTACGATCCCCCATTACGCAGCGCCCAAGGAGGAGGAGGAGGAGGAGGAGGAGGAGGAGGAGGAGGAGAAGGACGAGGAGGAGGAGGAGCGAAGCTGCGCCGACTCGCAGGAGGTCGCGGCCCCCCGGGGCGGCCCGCGCGGAGGCGCGGAGGGCGGCGCTTGGGGCACGCGGGGCACGCTGGGCGAATGGGTCGGGCAGCGGCAGGCGGGCGCGGAGGGGCGCGGAGGGAGGCGGCGGCGGGAGGCCGGGAGCCCTGAGGGGCGCGGGCAGCGGCGAGCGGTCTCGCGGGCAGCGCGGGGGCACGGGAAGACGAGGAGGAGGAGGGAGGAGGAGGAGGGAGGAGGAGGAGGGAGGAGGAGGGAGGAGGAGGGAGGAGGGGAGGAGGAGGAGGAGGAGGAGGAGGAGGAGGAGGAGGGAGGAGGGAGGGAGGAGGAGGAGGAGGAGGAGGAGGAGGAAGGCGCCAAGCAAGAGACACGAGTCGCCAGAGATCCCCCGTGGGTTGTCCATGTGTGTCTTGGATGTTCCCTCTGCCCCTCGACGTCCCCAGAGGTTCACCATCTCAGTCAGCGTCCGCTCGCGTCTGTCTTTTTTGTTGCTGCCCTCCTGAGCAGCGGCGGACAAGCAGCGGCAGGCCTCGGAGGCTCGGCTGCAGCCCATGCGGTGCCAGCTTTGCGCTCCGACTCTCCATGGGACGCACATGGACATACTAGTACTATATGTCCTGCTTGGAGGCGCGCGTCCGACCCGAACATATAGTACACCCATCTTGTAGTATATCGTTTCCCGAGCGGGGTGGCCAGAATGCGCCCGCCACGACGCATATACTATAAGATTTCTCGGTGCGCGCGTCGCCCCTGGGGGGGCGACGCACATATAGTATAAGTATGTTGGGGTGTTGCCGATCCAGGGTCTCCGTGCGCGGGAGGAGCCGAGTGAAACCGTTCTCTTCTCGAGGCGAGCCTGACCTCAAACTGATTGGCTCTTAGGTCAACCGGTCAACCCTCATCCTGCCACCCTTTCTCGTTCCATTCCCCATTCCTGCTCGGCCAGGCATGCTTGAAAGATCCTGTCCTCACCCTGTGAAAACCAAACTGGCAGCGGCCCGAAAATGATTCCCATGCACACTTCCGATCGCAACACTGAGCTGAAACTGGCCACAGCGAGGCCACGGCCTCCAAAAGGCGACTAGGGAAGGCCTCCTCGGTCACCACTCTCATCTACATCCCCTCTATCTTACCCACCCCTCGCGCCCATTTGACAGTTGGAGCGAAGAACTCGGCTGGCACGTGCGACAGGAGGTGCCGCGTGACGGACAGCAGCCTCGCCAGCATGCGTGCACACGCATACAGAGCAACCGTGCCCGACTCTGCTCCGCCTACCCTCCCTTTGACCTGTCTTTTCATGCCGCCTGCTCCCTCTTCTCACCCCCTTCACCTTCAGAAATTATGCTTCCGATACTGTGTCCCATATTGCGCTCTCCATCGACGCCGCTCATTATTCAAAACACGGCTAAGGCTTGGCTCAGCAAGTTCGCGCTGCTTTTGACTCGAAATGTGGAATGCCTGTGAGCACCGTGTAGAAATGCTAAACAACGCCCGAGTGTGCGCTGTAAGAGGCTACGCATCGTCGCATCGATTTAGAAATCCGTTGACCCTGCCGGCGTGTGAGGGGCTTGTCTGTTCGAGTCGTCGTCTCCGTCAGTCGTCGTCTCCGTCGTCTCCTTTCCCTGTACCCTCCTCCTCAACCTTGTCACCGAGTGGGAAAACGATGTCCTAATCGAGTGAAAGAGAAGCCCCTTCCCTTTGATCCCTCCCCCGTCGGGGGGGGGGGGTCCCAGGCGGGGGCGGGAGGAGGGGTCTCGGGGGGAAGGGGGGGTCGGGGGTCAGATACGCATCCCCCCCTGGGGGTCCGGGCCTCGGAAAGTACCGAGACAGGCCAAGAGTGCCCCAAGAGGCACCCGAGACGGTCCAAGAGGGCACCCAATCGCCAAACGATCGGCCCAAAATGGTTTCATGCCCTCCAGACTGCCCATGAGGTCTCCAGAACCCCCAAGGAGCCTTCAAAAGCACTCCCAAGGGACCCAAAGAGGCTAAATTCATTGAGTTGCCATTGGTTTTTTAAGATGTGGACGTTCTCGCCTTTTCCACTTCTGGTCGCTCCAAGACGGCGCCAGAGGCCCACAAGATCGCCCCAAGACGACCCAAGAGGCCTCCGAGAGGGCCCCGAAACAGCCCAGGATGATGACCCCTAAGACAACCCAAAATGCCTACAAGACGGCCCAAGAGGCCCCAAAATTCCTCCCCAGAGGCTCCGAAGAGACCCCAAGAAGCATCCCAGAGGATTCTGGCCCACGTCAGCGTCGTCGTCGCCGTCGCCGTCGCCGTCGCTGTCGCCGTCGCCGTCGCCGTCGTCGTCGTCGTCGTCGTCGTCGACGTCATCATGGTCGTCGTCGTCGTCCTCCTCGTCCTCGTCCTCGTCGTCGTCCTCGTCGTCGTCATCGTCGCTGTCGTCGTCGTCGTCCCTTCAGGGTCGGCGACCCCAACCGTAAGGCCTTCGCAATATCGGTGTCCGTTCTGGGTCCGACGACCCTGGGGGCATCAAGGTCAGCTAGTTAGGGAAAAAATCCTCCAGTGCCTCACTCGTTGTTCGGCTTGTAGCTTCAAGGGGGATCGAGAGGGATCTAGGCGAATCTCAGATGCTGGGGTGAGATGCCAGATGGGCGATGGGAGGCAGAGCAAGAGTCTAGACCTCATGGCTGGTTTGCGGGCCGCAGCTCACGTACGTCATGCAGCTGGTCACGCGATGGGCGCCAAAGAGGGTTGAGGTCGGTGAGCGGACAGGGGGGGGGCTGTAGAAAGGCTTTGGGGGGGAGCGCATCTCGCGTGCGTCACGCAGCTGATCAGGCGCCTGGCGCAGACGAAGGCGGCCAATAAGCAGGCGGCGGGGGGCACCTTAGAAAGGCTCAGTGAGCCGCAGCCCTTGTGTTGCGCAGCCTTTTCCATCTTGAGGTCATTCGGGGACTCTTGAGCCTCTGAAACAGTTTGGAGGTGCGCTAAGGCTCTCTTGGGCTACGTATGTCCGGACCTTGCCGTGCCATCTTGGGCTCCCTTGTGGCCTCTCGAGGCCCTCTCGGGAGGCTGGAGGCTTCGGGGCCACCCTGGTGCCATTTCTGGACGTCTTCGGGGGTCTACATCATCTTGAGCTCGAGCTCAAAAGTAGCTGGAAGGGGGGGAAGCAGTGTGCCACGATGCTCGTCTCTCCGGTGCCCTGCCAAAAGTTGTTTTGAAGCATTGGAGGACATCCTTGGGACAATAATGGAGCACCCTAGGCCGTCTGGGCAGAGCCCCAAGCTGGCCCAAGAAAGCATTCAGAGGGACCCTAGACGGCCTCAGAAAGCCCTCGACAGTCTAAGACATCCCCAAAACGGCCCTAGCACGGCCGCAAGAGATCCCCCACAAGTGGCGACTGGTCTTCTCCGCCTCCTCCTCAACCTCCTCCTTCTCCTCCTCCTCATCCTCCTCCACCTCCTCATCCTCCTGCTCTCCTCCTCCTCCTCCTCCTCCTCCTCCTCCTCCTCCTCCTGTTCCTCATCCTGTTCCTCCTCCTCCTCCAACTCCTCCTCCTCCTCCTCCTCCTCCTCCTCCTCCTCCTCCTCCTCCTCCTCCTCATCATCATCATCATCATCATCATCATCATCATCATCATCATCATCATCATCATCATCATCATCATCATCATCATCATCATCATCATCATCGTCAGCATCATCATCAGCAGCATCAGCATCAGCATCAGCACCACATCATCATCATCATCATCATCATCATCATCATCATCATCATCATCGTCATCGTCATCGTCATCGTCGTCATCATCATCATCATCATCATCAGCATCATCATCATCATCATCATCATCATCATCATCATCATCATCATCATCATCATCATCATCATCATCATCATCATCATCATCATCATCATCATCAGCATCATCATCATCATCATCAGCATCATCATCATCATTATCATCATCATCATCATCACCATCATCACCATCATCATTACCATCATCATCATCATCATCATCATCATCATCATCATCATCATCATCATCATGTCATCACCACCGCCGCCACCTCCACCACCATGAGAAGCAGCAGCTTCATATCCTCCTGCTCCTCCGCCTCCTCCTCCTCCTCCTCATCCTCATCATCATCATCATCGTCATCGTCATCGTCATCGTCATCAGCATCAGCATCAGCATCATCATCATCATCATCATCATCATCATCCTCATCATCATCCGTATCATCATCAATATAATCATCGACGTCATCAGCATCACCATCACCATGACGATCGCAATCACCATCATCATCATCCTCATCCTCGTCACCATCATCAGCATCACCATCATCCATCATGAGCAGCAGCAGCATCATCAGCATCTTCATCATCGTCAGCATCCTCATAAACAGCATCATCAGCATCATCAGCAGCAGCAGAATCATTATCATCACCAGCATCATCGTCATCATCATCGTCGTCGTCATCAGCATCATCATCAGCATCAGCATCATCATCAGCGGCATCAGCAGCATCAGCATCGTCGTCATCATCAGCATCATCATCATCATCAGCAGCATCAGCATCATCATGATCACCAGCATCAGCGTCATCATCAGCGCATCACCGCATCGTCATCACCATCACCATCATCATCATCATCATCATCAGCATCATCATCATCATCAGCGGCATCAGCATCATCATCACCAGCATCAGCATCAGCATCATCAGCGAGACAGTATCATCAGTACGTTTGTCACAATGAGTAGCATCAGCATCGTCATCAATATCATCATCATATCATCGTCATCATCATCAGCATCGTCGTAAGCCCAATCATCATCGGTGGAATCAGCAGCATCGTCATCATCATCAGCATCATCGTCATCATCATCAACATTAGCATCAGTCGTATCATCCTCATCCTGCGCACTCTCCTCCTCAACCTGTTCCTCCTCCTCGTCATGTTCCTCCTCCACCTCCACCACCTCCTCCTCCTCATCATCATCAGCATCGTCGTCACCATCATCAGCGCATCATCATCACCATCATCATCAGCATCAGCATCATCATCACAACATCAGCATCATCATCAGCGCATCAGTATCAAATCATCCCCATCCGAATCATTAGCATCAGCATTGTCGCCGTAATCCCATCATCAACGGCGGAAACAGCATCATCATCGTCGTCAGCATCATCAACATCAGCATCATTCTTATCCTGCTCATCCTGCGCATCCTCCTCCTCCTCCTCATACTGCTCCGCCTCCTCATCCCGCTCCTCCGCCTCCTCCGCCTCCTCCTCCTCCTCCTCATCATCATCATCATCATCATCAGCAGCATCGTCATCACCACCAGCATCATCATCAGCATCATCATCACATCCTCATCAGCATCACCACCCCAACCATCATAGTACCAGCATCACCACCACCACCACAATGATCATCATCATCATCATCACCACCACCATCATCATCATCCGCATCCGCATCAACGTCATCACCATCAGCAGCAGCATCGTCATCATCATCAGCAGAAGCAGGATCATCAACAGCATCATCATCACCATCATCATCATCATCATCATCATCATCATCAGCATCATCATGATCAGCATCATCATACTCCCCACCATCATCATCACCACCAGCATCATCAACATCAGCAGCAGCGTCATATCATCATCATCAGCAGCATCATCAGCAGCATCATCAGTAGCATCATCAGCATCGCCATCATCGTCATCATCGTCTTCGTCGTCATCATAAATCGGCAGCATCATCTGCCAAATCCCCATCACCATCATGGCCCTCATCATCCTCATAATCATCATGAGCAGTTTCATCGTCATCCGCATCCACATCCTCATCCTCATCTTCCTCCTGCAACTCCTGCTGCTCCTCCTGCTCCTCCTCCTCATCAGCATCATCAGCAGCAGCAGCGTCATCATCACCACCGACACTACCACCATCATCACCATCACCATCACCATCACCATCATAAGCATCATCATCAGCAGCAGCAGCATCAGCATCAGCATCAGCACCAGCATCATCATCATCACAATCATCATCAGTATCATCATCAGCATCATCATGTTCAGCATCAGTATCGTCGTCGTCGTCATCATGTTCTTCGTCCCCCTGGTCCGCCACAAGCCTCATCACCTGCTGCCCTCCACATTATAAACATCTCTCTACTCCTCCACATCATCAGATCCATTGTCATATTCACTTCCGGCACTGGCACCACGCGGACGAGCATGTAACATGTCACGGCTTTCCCACGTATGCACACGACACGTCACGCGTCACGGTGTCCTGTCAATCGCTTAGCTTGCACGGTGGCGGGACTCGTCGCGGCCAACTGAATAAGCGAAACAGCTACTACGAGGCAACGACGCGGTGCGGCGTCTGAAGCGATCGTGAAGCAGCCAAGGCAGCCAAGGCAACCACCAGTTTGCAAAGAGCGCGCTATGAAGTGGCCGTCCGCATAAAGAAAAAAACAGCTATGGCGCGGCTGGATGTGAAGAAGAGGCAGGATGATCTCTGAGTCAAGGCCCAAGCCTGGTATGCACACGACACTGCCTACGAGGGAGTCGGGACACAAGCTGGCAAGGTCGTGATGGAGCCCCATCGTCCCCTCCTCCTCCTCCTCCTCCTCCTCCTCCTCCTCCTCCTGATCCTTTTCCTCCGTCTCATCCTCCTTGTCCAACTCGTTCCCCGCCATATCCGCTCCCTCCCTTTCCTGGCTCGTCCGCGCCCCTCTCCTCCCCCACCTCCTCCTCCTCCTCCTCCTCCTCCTCCTCCTCCTCCTCCCTCCCTCCCTCCCTCCCTCCCTCCTCCCCTCCCTCCCTCCCTCCTCCCCTCCTCCTCCCTCCTCCTTCCTCCTCCTCCTCCTCCTCCTCTCCTCCTCCTCCTCCTCCTTCTCCTCCTCCTCTTCCATTTCCTTCTAACTTACTTCTCCCTGTCGCCCCCGGGTTTAGTTTTTAGGGCGGGTCGGGCGTTTCGCCTGAGACATCCTCACCAATTATGACCCTGAAACTTAAAAATGACAACAGGTTCACAAATGGAGGGCGGCCCGTTTTCAACATGTGTCTATCGTCTTAGCGCCGCGCACATTCGCTGCACATAATTGCAATAGCTTCACGGATTGAGGGCGGTCCGTTTTCAAAATGTGGCTCTCGCCTTAGCGCCGTGAACATTCGGTTTAAGAAATTGCAGAAGCTTCACGGATCGAGGGCGGTTCCTTTTTCAAAATGTGGCTTTCGCCTTAGCGCCGCGCACATTCGTGTGAAAAATACCAGAATTTCACAGATTCCCATGAACAGCGTACCAGAATTGGTGTTCTGGAAGGATTCAGGACTATGAGGGTGCAGCAGTTACGTTGCTTCGCGGTGTTGAAGTCCCAGGAGTGGCGATCTGGCACAATTCAAGATCGTCCGGACGCAACAGTCAGGTCGATCCGTGGCGTTGGAATCCCGAGAACTATGCTTTGGCATGCTTCAGGGTCTTCAAACGGTTGTCTTCCAACGAGGCAGTTCCCTCAGTGGAAATGAACCGTTGTAGGGGCCTATCAAGAGGGAGCTTGGAGGGAGGGGGTATTCCAACATCGTTGATGACTCTTGGGTATACACTGGTCCTCCTCCTCCTTCTCATCCACCTCCTCCCTCCCCAACAGAATTCGCTCAACAGCGGTCCCGGGACCCCTTCCGGGGTCCTCCATCCTGGCACGTTCATCCTATAGCTGGCTTCTGGCGGCCCCCGGGGCTCGAAGACGGCCGACGCGGGCCGAGAACTGCGACAAACCTCCTCGATCCTCCTCCTCTCGGGGATGGAGAGACCTCCCTTGAGTAAAACGTGGTTTAGTGAAAACGACTTCGGGCCCAAACCTGGCGGGCGCAAGCCTGGAAAATAACGGCCACGGCGCCATCTCGAGAACCGAAAACGGACAATTCACTAATCGACGTGTCACTGTTGGGGGTTCTGTCCACCCCCGATCCTCCCCTTCGACCTCGGAGGCGGCGGGGGCAGGCGCGGGGCATGTGCGAGGCGAGGTCTGGGTCCTTGCCGGCCTGGTCGTACCGCAGGTGCTCGGCCCCCGACACGCGGAGGCCCCTGGGTGGCCGGCGCAGCGAGGCGCGCGCGTGCACGTTTCTCAGGCCGTCTGCCTCTCCCTCCCTCCCAGATACGTTGTCCTCCACCTCCTCCTCCTCCTCCTCCTCCTCCTCCTCCTCCTCCTCCTCCTCCTCCTCACATCATCATCATCATCATCATCATCATCATCATCATCATCATCATCATCATCATCATCATCATCATCATCATCATCATCATCATCATCATCATCATCATCATCATCATCATCATCATCATCATCATCATCATCATCATCATCATCATCATCCTCTTCCTCCTCCTCCTCCTCCACCTCCTCCTCCTCCTCCTCCTCCGCCTCCTCCTCCTCCTCATCCTCCTCCCAATCCTGTTCATCCTCATCCTCCTCCTCATCCTCCTCCTCTTCATCCTCCATCCTCCACCTCCTCCTCCTCCTCCTCCTCGTCCTCCTCCTCCTCCTCCTCCTCGTCCTCCTCCTCCTCCTCGTCCTCCTCATCCTCCTCATCCTGTTCATCCTCCTCCTCCTCCTCCTCATCCTCCTCATCATCACCATCACCATCACCATCACCATCATCATCACCATCACCACACCATCATCAATCATCACCATCATCATCATCATCATCATCATCATCATCATCATCATCATCATCACCACCACCACCACCACCACCACCACCACCACCATCATCATCATCATCATCATCATCATCATCATCGTCATCATCATCAGCATCATCTCCATCATCATCATCATCATCATCGTCATCATCAGCATCATCATCATCAACATCATCATCAGCAGCATCATCATCCTCATCATCATCACCATCATCATCATCTCCATCTTCATCATCATCATCATCAGCAGCATCATCATCATCATCATCATCATCATCATCATCATCATCATCATCATCATCATCATCATCATCATCATCATCATCATCCTTCTAATCCTCCTCCTCATCATCCTGCTCAACCTCTTCCTTCTCATTCTCCTCCTCCTCCTCCCAACTACCGCACCTCCCGCGCTTTCCATTCAAAGCAAACCCCATCTCGCACACCCCGCTGCCCGCCACCACCACTCACATCCCATCCTTCTCCTCCCCTTCCCTCACATCCGCCAGTCCAAGCACGACCCTACCCATTCGTTCTTCTGTATTCACTGCGGCCGTGAGCTCGCGGAGCCTCCTGCCGAGCTCTTCGCTGGCCAGCTTGCCGGAAACTGGCATGAGCGCGATTGTGCGCTGGAGGGAGCCCTTGATCTGCTGGAGGACTTCCTGGGAAGCCAAAGGGAGGCGGATTTGGGGGCCAAGGTACCGTCAGGCGGCTGGGTCGAGATCTGGCCCCCGCGGGCCCCTCGAAAGCTTGACATGCATTACGTATTACGACAGGCGCCGACACAAGAACAAGTCCGTCGTGCCGACAACCAGGATCATGATGATGATGCTGATGATGATGATGATGATGCGAGAATCATGCCACTAGACCAAGTAGCCAGCTATGATGATGATCATGATCATGATGATGATGATGATGATGATGATGATGATGATGATGATGGTGATGGTGATGGTGATGGTGATGATGATGATGATGATGATGGTGATGATGATGACGATGATGATGATGATGATGATGATGATGGTGATGATGATGATGATGATGATGGTGACAGTGAATGCGATGACGATGGTGACGAGTGCGACGACACCGAAAATGGCAACGAAGAGGTTTCGACGTGCGCGCGCGGAGGCGAACGTACGCGTGTGGCCCGCATAGTCTTGTTTTACCGAGTTGGCAGGTGCGCGGCTGTTTGAATGCTTTCGACACAAGAGAGAATGTGGCCCGCATGGTACCGCTTGGCAGTATGGGGAAAACCAATGGTTTACTTCTGATGTCAGCGAGTGCGAGCGCATCATTATTCCCAATCCGTATCCCAATCCCCATCCCACTCCCAATCCCCATCCCGACCACTATCTCTAGGGGGGATCGGGATGGGGGATCGGGATGAGGATCGGCATGGGGATGAGGACAAGGATACGGACAGGGATGGGAGATATGGATAGGGAGAGACGAGATAGGGATACTGAGAAACATCTATATCTCGATCCATATCCACAACCAAATGTGTACACATGTATATGTGTATGTATATGGATATGCATGTATACATGTACGGACATATGGACATACATAGATATAAATATATATATGCGGGTAAGTATCCCTAGTGATATGGGTATATGGATATAGGGATAGGGATAGGATCGGGATGTAGACAGGGATCGGGAGGTATGGATAGAAAGATGGACATGGACACGAGGAGTGCCGACTGGGACTGGGACAGGGACGGCAGCGGAGGGCCACGGGAGGAAGCGGACGGCCACGGGCACCCACGGGAGGCCACGGGCCACGGGGGCAGCGGAAGGCCATGGGGGGCAACAGGCCACGGGAGGCCACGGGAGGCCACGAGAAGCGACGGGAAGCAACGGGAAGTCACGGGAGGCCACGGGAGAGGAGGAGGAGGAGGCGGAGGAGGAGGAGGAGGAGGAGGAGGAGGAGGAGGAGGAGGAAGAGGAGGACTGGAGGCCACGGGAGGCCACGGGAGGCAACGTCGTCGGCCCGATTCCCGATCTGGCAACGGACTCACTGGCCCGTCGAGACGGAATCCTTCCAGGCAGACTGTCTGGGGAATACTGCTTCCTAAGTGATGAACGATTGGCATCTAGATGGAACGGTTTAGACAACCACCGTGTTGCCATTACTTCGACCTGGGCGCGCGAGGACGCGCGCGTGTAGCCCACGCCGCAGTGTGTGATAAAGTTGCTACTATTGCAAAATGAGTTCGACATGCTTGCGCGTGTGGCCCGCATGCTCTCAGTGGACAGACTTGCAAAAAACAGCACTTGTCCAATGGCTTCAGCGGGTGCTCTCACAGGAGCCTTGAACGTTTGACAAGAAAGTCATGTGTGTTGATGGGTAGTGTCTCCATCCTTTGAGAACCAAGGGTGCGGGATGAATTTGAAATGCGTGCGAGCGCGTGTAGCACTAGTTGCATGTGTTGGCACTGGTTTGCTGTCACGTGTGGTACTGCCGCTGACACTACTGCTGTTGATACACGTAGAACTGGGGCTGCCATGACAACGCAGATACACATGCTGCTAAACGTGCGGATACTTTTGCTGGTATCAAGATTATGGTAATGCGTATGTTCCCACGGCGCGACCAGTAAAACAACATTACATCATCTATCAAAGAAGAACTGCATAAAATCGCTGGACTAGCTGAATGCGATCACTGTAAGTAGCCACCACGGACACTGTCTCCGAAAATCAATGCCTCAACAGAGAGGCAGGGAGGATGACGAACACGACCCGAGAAATGAGGCCAGGGGATCGGACAGGCGAGCTGTCTGTGTGTATGCGCATCATCAGGTGGCCCAGCCAACCACTTGTCATGTAAAACGAATGTCAAAGAACGAGACAATCAGGACACAGGAGAGAGAGAGAGAGAGAGAAAGACTCAGATACGGAGGGACTTTGAGGGAAAGGCGCGGGTACTGCTAATACTGCTGCTCTTAGTACTGCTGCTCCTGGAACTGCTGCGGCTGACGTTACTACTACTGATGTTGTTGGCGTTATGCTGACACGAATGCTGCTGATGATGTGACTACCGCTAATCAGAATGCGGCATATGCTGGCAAGTCTGCTTGTGCTGCTGCATGCCCCTGCTGTGGCTTCAAATTGCGGCTGACGCTCTTTGGAGCCCGCCCCACCTGAGCGGTCACCTAGGAGCCCGCCCCAAGGCGCCACTCAGTACTTGTTACTTTCTACCTCGAGAGATCCCACTGGTAAACCATCACTGGAGAACCTGGTTGTTGGATGGATCTCTCAAGCTCTCCGCCGCCTCAAGCGGCGTGCGTTCAGAGTAGGAACGCAGCAAAGCCACAGGAAAGCGTGGCGTTTCGGGTCGGGCGAAAGGGGAGGAAAGCAAAGGGGGGGTTTGAGAATCAGCTCAAGTAGCTGATTTTCCCGGCGCCTCCTGCCGCCAGAGGCGGCGATGTATCGAGAAATGAGCCCCTCAGTGAGGCCGAAACCAGCTGCATGCAGCAAATTTCGTAACCCCCCCTTTCCCAATCCCCCCCTTTCGTCCGGCCCGAGCGTTGACAGTGAAGCTCCGTACACGTGTCGAATGCTCTAGAGAGAAAGAGCACTGCAAAGCACCAGGATAGCGAGGTACTGACAGTGTGGCGCAGCAGTGCCCAGGTACTAGCAGCACAGTGTAGACGGGGACGGCCTCCACGAGGACGGCCCACGGGCGCCTCCCGTGCGCAGCCTTGGCCAGAGCCTCGAGCAGACCGCAGCCGCAGCGGCACCGAGCCAGCGGCAACGGTCCCGCGGGGCACACGGCGGCGCTGCTTCGAGACCTCCGCCAGGGCAGCACCGTCCCCTCTCACCACTGGCGTGGCCTGGGCCCCACTGGCCGACTTCCCGCCCTCGATGGGGATCTAGGCTGCTCCCTTCGGGTTTTGAGGGGCCCGCCCCCAAACTGGGGCGCTGGGGTGGCCGGGCCGAGCTGGTGGGGTGGGGATACAGTCGGCCCGCATCAGAAGGATGCGCGATAAGGATGCAGGGGTCTGGGACGCCCATTTCGACGCTCTTCGAGCGGGCCGCGGCCGACGAAAGTGGCCAAGGATGGACCGAGGAGGCAAGGAGGCAAGGGTACTGTCTGCCTCGTCGTGCTCGCGGGCCCCGACACATCATACCAGGGACAGCACCCCCCCCCCCCCTCCTGGCCCTCCCCCCCCCGCCTCCACGCTCCCTCGCCTCTGCCCCCCCCGCCCCTCGCCTCCCTGGGGAAGGGGGAGCATGGCGGGCGGGAGGGGAGGCTTCCACCCTCCACCGCCCGCACGGCAGGCGGCGGGGTGGCCCGAGGGCACCGCGCGCCGCGGGCCCCCCATGCCCTGGCGCCCCTCCGCGCCCGGCCCCCTCGACAGCTCCCGCCCTGCCCCTCCTCCTGCTCCTCCTCCTCCTGTCTCCTCCTCCTCCTCCTCCTCCCTCACTCCTCCTCCTCCTCCTCCTCCTCCTCCTCCTCCTCCTCCTCCTCCTCCTCCTCCTCCTCCTCCTCCTCCTCCTCCTCCTCCTCCTCCTCCTCCTCCTCCTCCTCCTCCTCCTCCTCCTCCTCCTCCTCCTCTCCTCCTCCTCCTCCTCTCCTCCTTCCTCCTCCCCTCCTCCCTCCTCCCTCCCCCCTCCCTCCTCCTCCCTCCTCCCTCTCCTCCTCCTCCTCCTCCCTCCTCCCTCCTCCCTCCTCCCTCCTCCCTCCTCCCTGTGCGCCGAGGGGGGGAAGTCTCCTGGATGTCCTCGGGCAGGTGCCGCCACCAGGGGTGGATGTAGTGCCGCATGTTGGCCGCCGCGCTCCAGAGGGCGACGAGCATGGTGCTCGTCCTCTCCGCGGCCGCTGGCCGTGCACCGGCGCTGGGCCAGCAGTAGGGGGCAAACAAACCTGCCTCGCTTTTGACCACCCTCGCTTCCAAGAGATACCAAGCGATGCCAAACTACGGCCTGTACTGGTCAGGCCGCTTGACGAGGAGGCGCGTGGTATGCCTTGGTTTTGCCTGGAAGCGAAAGCGGGGTAGGTAATTCACGCTCTGAAGCGGGAGGGCACACCGCACACGGGCGGGACCCAGCCGCAGAGAGAGTCTCCCAGCGCCGGCTGCATCGCCGCAGCGAGTAAGACCGGGGCGCGCACGAGAAGCGCAGGAGACAGAGCACGTGGCAGACTGGCCACAGAGGGCACACGTGCAGGTCACACTCATGGCCGGCGGCATGTGCGTGGCCCTGGGAGGGGGGCGATGGACGTAATGAAATAAGAAGAGGCGCCATGAAATCCGAGGAAGTATCATGGCCGACGCCATGATATCCACCCCCCCCTAGTCATCACCCCCCCGCTTTGCCGCCCCCGAAACATCCAGAGCCCAGTGACGCCGAGTCGAGTTTCGCGAGGCTGCGCTGGTCTCTGCCCGCTCCCTTTGCGAGAGAAGGCTGTCAGGCCCCTTGGTCACCTGGTGCCCCATTTCCCGATCGCCGTGCCACCAGCCCGTTGAAGGGGCCCAGGGACACACAAATAAATAGACACAAATAACAGGATTCCCCATATTTTCCTATATGTTCTGGGTTTTCGTCTCCCCCCCCACTTCCCATATTTTCCTATATTTTCCTTGGGGTCGGCGATTGATTGTGTCTGTGTGTTTTGTCCCCTCCTCAGTCACCTGGTGCCCGAGTTCCCGATCGCCGTGTCACCAACCCGTGCCCCTTGTGATCTATCCGCTCATACCAGCACCGCTCCCTCCCTACAGTACTATACACAGTGTGCCTCTGGGGATCTCTGGCCAGAACGCAGCGGCGGCGGCGGCGACACTGACAACGACGCAAGCGACGGCGGACGGCGGACGGCGCTGACGAAGGCGCCGCCGACGCCGGCAGCGACGGCGCCTGCGACGGCGCCGGCGACGGCGCCAGCGACGACCACGGCGGCGACGACGACGACGACAACGACAACAACAACGACAACGATGACAACGGCGACGGCGTCGACGGCGACATGGCGACATCCGCGACAGAACCTCTGTTCTGCCCGAACTGCCGGAGACTCGCGCTCGGTGATAATATACACTGATGAAGCGCACGCCGTGGGCTGCTGGAATGCTCACGCTCGATAAAACATGCAATGCTGATGTATCCTGCTTTTCGGCGTGGGTTGTCGAAACGTCATCGCTGGTAAAACATAGGCACTGGACCGACACCCACTTGTATCCTTCACGTATGAAAGTGAAGGGGAGGGTAGAGAGGGGCGCGCGACTGGATGCGCTAGCA